AGCAGCAGCATTGGCCATCTCCTGAGTTATGCGCAAAGTGTATATGGCACTGATATCGAGCTCAGGGTATGTATTCAGGATCATCCACCGGCTTAGTTTAAAACCCCTTCTGTACGATTTCACCATCAGGTTGTCAAAGCTCGGCGAGGCGATGTACTCATCGACGACCTTCTTCTTGGCATCTTCAATGCCTTGAGAAAAGATCTGCGTCCTCTCCCTAATGTCCTCCTAAAGGTACTCGACCTAATGCTGCAAATCCAGCCTCAAGTTCGCCATGTTCTTTACTACGACTCCCATGGCCTCGGCATCTCTCTGAGACCTCGCCTGCCTGGTCTGTGCAACGCGAGCAACCGCCTCAGCAGCGCGAGCAGCCGCCTCAGCAGCGCAAGCAGCCGCCTCAGCAACTTGGGATGTCGTCTCGGCAGCACGGAGAGCCTCTTCGGTAGCTCGCGCTTGCCTCGAGCTCCTTTCCACTTGGGCCGCCAAGGCATGGATAGAAGAATTCACCTACCAAAAGGGAAGAACAAGCGATCAAAAGAACGACAGCAAGAAGAATGAAAGCAAAGAGCTCGACAAGAAATCTGACTTTACCACCATGGCATGAGTGACAGCGCGACAAGCCACCTGGTTCAAAGGAAGATCGGTCCATGCCGCAACCTCCTCGAGGAAAATGGCCTCCCTACTCTTCTGAAGAGCGTGGTTTGGCGACAACACGCTCCTGAATTCCCCTTGGGCTCCCGAGCCTGAGGGCCCAACTCACGTATAAGCAGACCCAGAGTAAGCGGGAGCCCTAGAGTAAGCGGGAGCCCCCGTGTAAGTAGTCTCGGCATAAGGGGCTCCTGCCGCTTCTTGCATTGGAGGAGCCATCTCTGGCTCCCTGGGCGGATCCTTTGGCGGGTAGCCTGGTATCTCGGGGCAGCTCGACACGAGTTCTTTTGGCGACTCGCTTCCTCCTCTTCATGCCGTGAAACAGGCGCCCACCACGAGTCCCTTCTAAGTCCATCACACCTGCAAAAAGAGTTCGGCATCAGAAAAGACAAAAGAACAAAGCAAAATAAAAAAACCTCTAAGGAACCTACCCGAGCTCAGGCCGGTCGCAATGAGCTTGGCCTCCGTCAGATACTGATGGCATTTTAGCCCAAGCCGTGCCCATTGCCGGAGGCCCTTCACCGTCTCTTTATTAAGCGTAACATCGGAGTCAGGGGCGGCCATCCCCCACCCGGTCTGAAATGGCCACCCCAATACACTTCGCACCCCGAAGTAGTCCCGCTTCCACGCCGGGACCTTGTTGGGAAGTTCATGTAAAAGCTTAAAACTCGGGTGAGGAGACAGGTAATACGCCCGCCTGCGCCTGGGAAGGGGACCCGCTTGCTTCTTAAGCATTAAAATGGAAGAGAAGATCTCCAAGTCTAAAGGAAAGCCCTGTTCGCAAAATAGGGAAATTGTCCCCACCAAGTTCCGAATGGAGTTCAGGTGAAGCTGGCCGACCGCAACGCCGAAGTGGTTCAAGACCTCGACAAGGAGGGGGTGGAAAGGCAGTCGCAGCCCCGCAGCGAGCTGCTCTCGGAATATCACGATCTCTTCCGGACCGTGTTCCCAAGGAAAGCTACTCGAATGTATGAAATAGGCGTATTCCCCAGGCAAGTTGTAATAGGTAATAAGGGATTGGAGCCCCTCAGGCGTCATGGTCGAGGGACCAAACTTGTCTAACGTTCGACCTCGACGAAAGGAGGACGCCAAACTACCCGAGGCAACTCTGCCTACGGGTTCGAACTCTTCCTCGAGTTCTACCTTAGGTTCACTAGGACTGTTGGAGGATGCAGCTCGGTTCGTAGAACCCACATCCGACCCCCTTGAAGAACTGTCTAAGCTATCCGAGCTAGACATTAGGAGAATAAGGATCACGGGAAAGTACTCACCTGGAAAGAAGCAAACGGACTACGGGAATGTGAACGCGAGCTAGAAGCTTGGACGCGAACTGAAACTGGGACGCGAGCTCAAGAAGCAAAACGCTGAATAATGACCAACTGGGGTCCCCCACTTTTTATACCCATAGTGACCAAGAACCAACGGCTCAGATGAAAGCCAATCCGACGGCCCGCAGACGCACTGACCGCACGTCTTCGGAGACCGAGACGTGATTGGCGCACGTCTTTCTGAAACTGACAGAACGCCGGCGCACGTCTTTCTGAAACTGACAGAACGCCAGCGCAAGTCTCCTCGCATTAAAGGCCGCAGTGGCGCGCTTTTTCCAAAATTGAAAAGACCCGCTATCACGTCTCCCAGCGGCGCGCTTTTTTGAAATTTGAAATAAGCGCGCGCCGCTGTGTCTGTCAGCATTTTTAGACAGATTGACGCGTTTCCTGTCTTTTTGGCGCCCGAGGAAACCCGGAAAAATCCTGACAAGCACGCACTTCGCGTTATCAGTCAAAACCAGTTCGAAGTACGGGACAAATCCACCCGCCACCTCGCAAACCCCCCGCGCCAGGGCAAGTCCCTTAGCGCGAGGAGTGGGGGGCATTTGATGAAGGAAGATTTGGTCCGACTTCGTGATCACTCAACACGTGGCAAAGGCAACAGCTCGGCACAACAACGCCCCAAGGCACTGTTCCGAAAGGAGGAACCAGCAGTCCGAACTCTTTGCAAGGAGCTCGATCTCCCCGCAAGGAGCCCGAGCTCTCCCTTAGGCCCCGAGCCTTACAAACACAAAGGGCAACAACCCGAACTGGCCTGCCCCGTGGCAGTTCTTGACACACCTCTGTCCGAACTCGAGACTTCACCTTGCTCACCACTCCAGCACTTCGCCTCTAGGACGCCAAACTGAACAACCGTACCACGCCTGACACCAAGGAAGTCCGTACCCAGGGGCGGCGCACCTGACTGACTTGGGATCTGACGCTTGACAGCCGCACTTCGACAGCCACCTGCCACCGCCACCTGCCACCGCCATCTCCAGTTGCAGAGACGGCTCCGACAAAGAGAGCAGCGGTGGTTCTGTCCCAGCAGAGGTGATG